TAATCTAGACCTCTTCAAGTAAACTCATCCCACCCCCCAGGGGAGGACATCCATCACACAGTAATCTCGTGCATGGGAAATTAACGTCTCCTACCCTAACCCTGCAGGAGACGGGGCCTACGACTTATTCGTCCTCATCCGAGAAGACTAGAATATCTATCCATTTCTTGATATTATAGAAAGGAAGCAAATTCTCCTCAGTTATTTTAAGACCATGAGTGTTGGTCCAGCTGGGGCTTGAACCCTTGACCTCCTGCACAACACAAACTGGCCCTCTAACCAATTGAGCTAGCCGGGAGGCAGTTAGGTTAATAGCCCATTTCCGAGTTACCCTTGGCCTCATTTTCAAAATGAGTCCTGGTGCTCATCCTTTCAAGTTTTCATTCACATGCTAGTTAAACTCATTTTCTCAAGAATGGTTGAGCACCAGGCCTTGTTTTGAAAAAGATGCCAAGGGTAATTTAGAAATGGGCTATTGGACTATCTCAGCTCTGTCAACTTGAACAATCTGAACTAATTCAGCTCTGTCAACTTGAACAGAAGCATGGTATTGAGCTTGGGAAAACTTACAGAACTGACAAGGCTTGCAAAAGTTTTATCATGGCAATATCTGAAGAGTTTAAGGGTGAACTTGGGGAGCAAATACAAAAGGCACATTTCTTAAGTGTCATGACGGACAGTGCTACAGCTGTGGGTGTTCGTGAGGTTGAAGATGTGTATGTTCGCTTTTTGAAAGATGGAGAAGCAGTCAATAAGGCTCACTAATGGTGCCTCTGTAATGATGGGAGATGTGGGTGGAGTCTACGCCCTGCTGAAACGAGATATTCCCCATCTGATCAAGGTACACTGTATTGCTCACCGACTAGAGCTTGCCTTTTTGGATACTGTTAAGGCAGTGTGCCAGTTAGAAGAGGCTAAGGATGTTACAAGGGATTTGGAAACATCACAACTACTCACTTAGGGCAGTGCATGAATTGAAAGAGTTGGCTGAGAGCATGCAAGTCCAGGCTTACAAAGCAGTGAAGGCAGACGGCACCCGTTGGGTTCCCCACTTGAAGAGAGCTCTAGAAAATTCTTCTTTTGAAGAATTACTATATGGTAGTAACCCAATTACAGCACACTTCACAAGCAAGAGATGCAAGTGTAAAAATGCAAGGCAGAGCATCTAACTATTGCACGAAGTTAGTCAGTTACAAGTTTTTGTTACTCCTTCATCTGCTCCTGGACATAGTTACAGCAATAAGTAACCTGTCACTTCAGTTCCAAGACGACAAGATCTCGATTTCCCAGCTTCAAGACAAAGTGAATACCCTCTCATCCACACTTCAAGCATTCAAGGTCAGACCAGGTGAACATCTCACATCATTTCAGCAAGGAGTTGGTGATGGGAATCAGTTTAAAGGTATTGATTTAACCGGGTCCAGATATGATGAATTGTCTTTTGCTGCCAGTAGAGATGACATCATAGACAAGGCCACCGTTTTTCTAAGAGATAGATTCCATGGTTTGGGCCATGATCCCATTCTTCGTGGAGCAGCAACTTTAACAGACCACCACGCATGGCCAATAAACAAATGACAGCATATGCTTGTTTATGGCAAGGATGCTATTCAGGTTCTCTCAGAGCACTCTGAAGCCCTACTAAACCAAAACTACTTCAACTTGCAGTCCTGCCTTGATGAATGGATGGAGCTCAAAGTTCATTTGCAGAAAGTGAGAGGAGAGCTTCAGCACAACAACAACGACTTCTGGAATAGCAAGTTTCAGATGCGAGACTGTTACCCCAATTTATTGTTGGTCATCAAGGTTTGCCTTGTTATAACTGTCCAAAGTGCTTGTTGTGAAAGAGGCAAATCCTGTCTGAACAGAGTTATGTCCAACTTCAGGTCAACTCTTGATTTTGGGACTGTTGAAGCCCTTATAAGAATCTCTCTTTAAGTTAATAGACCACACCCATCAGAGCATCACTCTTCTTTAGCTGTTGCAAGATGGCTTGACTCTGGCAAGAGAGCTAAGCAGCCAACTTTCATGGACTAATTTCATCGTTACTTTCTTGTCATATGGACAATGGAATATCATTATCAACTAGTTTAATCATGTGACATCTCACATCTAATACTGTTGTTATTACGTTATTTGAACTGATCTAAAGATTGCATCTGGACATTCGAATCTCTGAACCTTAATTGCAGCCTAACTGAATTCTCTCCGGTAACAAAACATCTTAACTACGTTGCATTTCACAAAATAGTTGTTTCACCTTTGGAACTGGTTTAGGTAAAGTGTAATTACCAGTATCAACATCATGTATGAAAAAAGGGTGATGTTTGCATCGTGCTTTCAAGTCTTGCTAGTAATTCTGCTGTTATTGGACCTAGCCAACATCAAAGCTTGGCTGGTAAAAAAAAATTTGGCTAGTAACATCTAAGTTGTCACTAGCCTAGTGAGTTGAAAAGTTAGTGTCCAGCCCTGCTATAACTGTAACTGAAATGTAGGATCTTACAACCGCTTAGTTGTGAAAGGTCTGGGTACTAAACTAACAAGATATTTAAAATCTCTTGGTAGCTATGATTCATTGATTATTTTGAAACAGGTTAGTTTTCACAATTTCCTGGTATCATAAATTGAAGGCCAGAGTACTTACCACCCACAGATATACTTTTAAAATCCTTATCAACAATTATTTGTCGATTTGTTGCCAGTGCTGCTTTACAGTTGGCTACAAAGTAAATAACAAGAATGAACTGATGAATTAAGAAACAAAAGAAAACAACCAACAAGACATAGAACAAACCAAAAAACAAGAACAGAGGCGAAAATAAGAGTTTTTGGCAAAAAGTCAGCACTAATCTAGACCTCTTCAAGTAAACTCTCTACTACATGTACCTTTAAGTTGAAAGAAATTTAAACTTTCAGGTCATGCCACTGACACAATAACTTAAGAACTGCTACATTTGGGTTGGATTACAATGTTAACAGCCACCTTGTGTTACTCACTGGGCAAAAAATGTAATTGCTAGTTTTGAGGTTTGGAATAGATTAGTAAACCCTTGGAGCAGAGTTTCTGCTTCTCCTGCTGTCAATGACAATGGATCAAGATTTTCCCAGGAAAAGTATCGCATAGCAGTCATGTTTTTTTTTTATCTAGCTCTGTTGAATGTTGAGTAATGGGATCAATTAGCAAAGGAAAAACCTGTGCCAAAACAGATAAAGCTGGAGAAACTGCTAAAAAGCAAAACAGCAAATCGACAGACAGCTTAAGGAATATCCTTATCGCTAACACAAGTTCCCCTGGGTAGGTTTATTCATAATTTCATATAATTCAAGGCAATTACCTATGTTTTTGTATCAAGGCCAGTACTTGCTTATTGAAAGGAAACTTAGTTTTTAACCTTATGTATGACACATGTGGATTTGATAGTGACTTCTTTGTTAGCAATTTGGATGCCAGTGTGGAGACGATTAGTACCTGGACTTTTTTTTTTTCCCTGACAAAATGGTGACATTTCACTCTTCCTTGGGCCTTTTTTATTCTTTTTTCTTTGCCCAAGGATTCCTCTCTAGTTTTGATCTTTGTTTTTTATCCATGAAAAAAGACTTTCCACTTGCAGAGAACTTCCATGTATGAATTTTGTGAAGTGTGCAATGAAAACAAAATATGCAAATAACATGAAATTGCTGCGAATATTCCCCCAAAGGACTTTGCCTCATTACGAGATTATGACACCATCCTGATTTATTGACTTTTGTTTGAAAATACATTTTCCTAAATAAGTCCAATGTATTTTAAGATTTCAAAAATTTTTCTTTCTGAAACTGTTGGGTAAAATGTCTAACTTCAATCTAGTCCAATAAAAGAAAAAACAATTTTTTGGGCCTCTGTAAGTTAAAAAAATTGGCTTTAGACCTGATTTCAGCACAGAGAGAGATTACACATCACATCAAAATGTGGTAAGAACAAAAAACTGGCACATGAGGTACAGCCGAGTCTGTCACTGATACTACCACATTTTGTTGTCTTCTGTGATGTATTACTGTACAAACCCATGGCAACACAATTAATTCATTCCATATGATAAAAAAGTAACAAGTTGCTAATGGTGACATCATATTTGTGTCTGTCCCAGAATCAATCGAAATGCAGATTTTATTTTGTTATCATATGATGTAACCCTTTCCTTAGCTTTAGGTATTTTTAATCCAAAGTGTGAAGTGTTTATGAAAGACAAATCTGAAGTTTTTAAGTTAGTGGTTACCTGTCAAAAATGAAGGTCTTCATAAATGTACTGACTCGGGAGAAATTTTATGAATTTTGAACCCAAAGGTTCATGAGTTATCATGTAGTGTTCGTTCTGCCTAAAGGTCTCCAAGTATTAACCGATCCAAAAGAAACCTTTGACACATCAGGTTAGGGCCAGATGCACAATGAGGCTGAACAAATTTGTTTGGCTCATCCAAAAATCTCTCAAATTTTCAGTTTGCTAGTCGTGGACACATGAAAATCAGCAAAAGATTTTTTAACCAGGAATGTCAATCATATGGAACATTCTAATCTTAGGAGCCATAATAATTGTATTCTAAGTCTCCAGATTACAGGTTGTCGTACAACATTCCGTGGTACTAATCTCGGAGCAACTACAGAATACAGGACCATTGAGGTCCACCTTGTCGGCATGCTTTGGAGCAACTATTATCATCGTCCTTCACAATAGAGGCTATTCTTATTCAATGACATGTAAATGAGTGGCAGGGTATCCTGCATTTACCCCTGCTTTGAGGCCCCATCCACACGAAGACGATTGTAAACGCAAACGCTAGTAAACGCATATTTTTATCTCCGTCCACACGAAAACGATCATCGTTTACGTAGCGTTTTCACCCGTCCACACGAAAACGCTTGTAAACGCATTAAACGATGTTTGAGCCTACAATCTGCTTCAGCGCCTTGTTATCAAGTGTTAGCGTCCATGTTATAAAGTCGCCACGTGCGTTTGTTGTGATCGAGAGAGAAGAAAAATGTCAACCTGGTCTGGTCCAGAATCTTCTCTCTTTGCTCTCACGTCTGCATCTAAGTCGTTTTACTCGAGTGAAAGTGCTTGTAGTAATGGATAACAATATTGAGAGGTTTAGTCTTCTTCTTTTGTAGTTTTCCTGTATATCGATTATTGCATGATTCAATTGAATGCTCGCAATTATAATTGAAATAAGCGCAAGTACGACACAGCTCAACACT